TTCAAGGAATATACATGCTTAAAGAAAATTGACAGTTAGGAATTCATTTATGAGTTGCCGTAACATTTCACTGTTAATTATCCTCTAAAACACAGTTAGCTTTTAGAGAAAGAACACTGGTAAGGGGTGTGATTCCAGTTTGTACACTGTCACTAACCATTAATCTTGTCACATCATTTCACCCCTTAGGGCCACTTTGCCTCATGTTGCTTAAAGCCTTTCTATATCTCTAAGGCCTTTCTTGTTGGGATAAGTACATCACCAGTTTACTTATTTGACAATAGCATATAGTTATTTGTCCACCATTGTCACAATAACCTTATCAGGGCATGGTCACAGTGCCGTATTGTCATTGGTTATTGAAGGACAGTTGGGCGATAACTCTGAATTCCCACTGGACATTGAATAACCATTCAGGTCACACTATGTAGACACAACACCAAAAAGAGCCTTGTCTTTGTTTTGTTTTGTTTTGCGTTTTGTTATTTTCCTACATAAAGAAAACAAAATCTTAAAATAGCATGGACTCGTTTGAAACCTCTGGGATAAAAGACATTGTTTTGCTATTCTTTGTTGTAGTTTCATAAAACTGAGTAAAAATGCAAGTAAATTGAGAAGATTCTGAAGTAAATTGGTATTTAAAGTATATTTTTAAAAAGTAACTGACATTTCTGTCCCTTACCTTGCAGCCTTTGCATCACGTTGGCAATGTCCCGAGGAGACCGAGAGGCCGCCCTGGAGGCTGCCATGGTTTCTCCTGTAGCATAAAACCAACACCAGAGGCTCTTCGCCCAAGGCAGTGCAGCACTAGGCCACTCTAGAAAACATACTTGAACTCGATCTATGGAGTCAAAAACAGGTCCCAGGCACTTGCAGCAGTCAGCGAGGGGACGGCACTCCTAAAGACGGAACCACCTCTTTTTCTGCTTTCGGTTTAAGACTATCCTCTTCAATGAACTGAGGAACCTGAAAACCAAATAGAAAAGGTACCATATAAAAAAAAATCTACATAGCTCACCATAGTGCTAACACAATTATTTCTCTTCACTTTGAATAGATGGTTCATTACTAAGTGAAATGATTAATGTTTAAAAATACTTATAAAGTACTAGGCAAATACTAGGCATTTCTTATGACATTTGATAGATAATAAATAATATGCCTGAGATTTATACAATAAAATTGGTTGCTAAAAGGGGAAATGTTCACTTTTAGTCCATGTTTTGTTTCTAAACAATAAACTTATCCATTGATCTATGAAAGTGAAAGTACTTACACCCAAAACACTGAGTCTATTTCTCAATACTCACAGGTTCTCTTTTCTATACTGTGTTAGCCTGCTTTGCACACATATTGTGCTGTTTTGATTGTACACTTTCCAGGAATGAGATCAAATCCTAGCTCCTAATAACAATTCAATGAATTAAAACATATAATTGTAAAACTACTTCATTCTAAAACTTTGAGTTTCAGATATTCTGATTTCAGAAGTCAAAACATATTTGAGTTAGCTTTATTCCTCCCCAAAGAGAAAGACTCTAAAGTAAATTGTGAGGCTGGGCTAAGAATGGGCTAAGCAGACAAGGCATTTTCTTTCTAACCTCTTCCTGACTGAATTCTCTGCTATAGTCAAGTTTAATTCATCATTCTGGACTGGGGGATGGGGAAAAGAGGTAGGAGAGCAGTTGATGAAATCTTGATGTTGAGACATGTATTTTGAATAAGGATTTCCTAACCCTAGGGTTAGCTGAAGAGAAGATCTTGCCACAAGTAGGATAATTAATGACAGAAAGAAAAGGAGTGTGCAAAATGCACTCAGAGAAAGAAACTTAATGAAGGGGCCAAATGAAGGGGACCTATGTGACAGTGACATGTTATTACAGTTCACACTCATCTCTGGGTTATGATGAAGAAGGTGAANCTATTTCTCAATACTCACAGGTTCTCTTTTCTATTCTGTGTTAGCCTGCTTTGCACACATATTGTGCTGTTTTGATTGTACACTTTCCAGGAATGAGATCAAATCCTAGCTCCTAATAACAATTCAATGAATTAAAACATATAATTGTAAAACTACTTCATTCTAAAACTTTGAGTTTCAGATATTCTGATTTCAGAAGTCAAAACATATTTGAGTTAGCTTTATTCCTCCCCAAAGAGAAAGACTCTAAAGTAAATTGTGAGGCTGGGCTAAGAATGGGCTAAGCAGACAAGGCATTTTCTTTCTAACCTCTTCCTGACTGAATTCTCTGCTATAGTCAAGTTTAATTCATCATTCTGGACTGGGGGATGGGGAAAAGAGGTAGGAGAGCAGTTGATGAAATCTTGATGTTGAGACATGTATTTTGAATAAGGATTTCCTAACCCTAGGGTTAGCTGAAGAGAAGATCTTGCCACAAGTAGGATAATTAATGACAGAAAGAAAAGGAGGGTGCAAAATGCACTCAGAGAAAGAAACTTAATGAAGGGGCCAAATGAAGGGGACCTATGTGACAGGGACATGTTATTACAGTTCACACTCATCTCTGGGTTATGATGAAGAAGGTGAAGAAAAGGAGTGGGGTGGGGGTGCAGGGGAGGATGATAAAAGCAAAAAACTGTAAAGAAAGCACAACACACATATGTGGGATGCTCTACCTGCCAAAAGGAAAAAAAGAAAATAAGGAGTCTAAGAGTGCTATCAAAAATTGTAAAACCTGAATGTATGGTCATACAAACAGTATTATTTATGAAGGATTGGCTAAGTAATAGAGTATAATTACAAATTACGACTGATTTAAAGATGTCATTATTAATAATAGTATACAATGGTTTCTGGTTAGAACGTATTAATACAAAGCCGATCAGGCTACCATTTTGAAAATGACACAGAACACTGCACACTGCTCCCGCTCTGTGTGAAAAGCATCAAAAAGGTGGATTGGAGTAAGAAAGGGTGTGCTGGCCATTCAACAAGTTAGGGCCCCGGGGTGGGGGCAGTGAATAGCATTAGTTGGTCAGAAGGCAGAGGCAGACTTCTGTAGGCTACCTGAAAGGGTATCGACTAGAAGTAGGACCCAGTACATGGCAGCATCTGGGGCTGGAGTGGGGCCTCTCAGTGGGGGGCCCTCCAAGTGATTCTCAGAGGAGAAATTGTGACTCACGGGGGGATCTGTCACACAACAAGGCCTAGAGCTCTGCTGTAATCATGTGCCCAGTTGCAGCCTTCATCTCCTGGGGAAAAACATTCCACCTGCCCACATACAAAAGCCACCTTAATTTGAAGACTAATAGACAGTGAGAAATGCCTGAGGGATATTACAAATAGCTCTAAGCTGTCAGAAAGTTAGTGCTCCAAATGCAAGAATATAACTTTCTGAAATTTGCCTATCTATCTGTCTATCTATCTGTCTATCTATCTATCTATCTATCTATCTATCTACCTATCTATCTATCTACATGTATAGTAAGGAAGGAAATTCCTTTTTAATTCTGCTACCCCACACCAGGCCCTGCTCAACACTGGAGTTCACAGATGATTAAGACATGGCCCCCACCATCAATCAAGAATTATGGGATTAAAAGGGATTTTGGTAAATCGCTGCATTAAAGGTCACTGTGTTTCTATCCTCTCCTAGTTCACATTCATGTTATACAATAGATTACTCCTGAAATATCTATCTCCCTCCCTCCCTTCCTCCTTCCATCCCTCATTTGATACCACAGGAAACTCAGAATTTCACAGCTCTGTCCAACTTCAGTTTAGATATCCAGTCTTACTCCTACAATATAACTAGTACATTCTGAGTGTCAGAGCTCAGTGCTGGGGGTACTCATATGAAT